TGGATGTGTGGGTGATGAGCCAAATATATAATTCCCTAGGCCCCTGACCCTAGCCTTACGGAATTACAAGATATTCATGAGACATAATTTAATTTCCCACACTGAATTGGATAGAAGGTCTCACGATTCCATTTACTTTCCATTAGACTTGCCTCCAAAAACAACCTTTACACTAGTCTTGATTTCAGATTTTACCTCGTCTTTGGCTCATCAACATCCTCAACGTTATTCAAAACGTGGTTGGGACTTGCTAAACCACGTTTGCAGTTGGAATGTTAATGAGAAAAACATGTATTTGACATTACGAAAGACTAAGTTACTTATATTTGGTGTAATGCATAGAGACAACGTTGAGGGGAATTTCAAAGTACCCTGAGGCCCAAACATGTCGTTTTGAGGGCAGCATAATTGTCTTTTCATGATTTCTCTGAAGTCAACCAGCTATTGTTTGAAGTTGATTTTTGATCCGGTATCGACATATTTATGCCTAATGTCAGCATGCTACTTAGTGCTACTTAATGCAATATAGCCCAGTTTAGGTTAGAAATAAAGAAAAAGTTTTGCTTTCCGTCTCCATGTGAGACGTGAATCTATAAAGCCCAAAGAGTTACTCAGACCATATCCATGACTATTGAGGAAGACAATAATAGGCGATCTGCCTTGAGGTCTCGCTGCAGCCTTTGATGGTCAAGTAGAGAATACCGAGTGTGAATCGTCAACCTGAACCAGGTACCAACTAGTAACTAGGGCACTTTTATAGTATGCACTGTTATGCTTAAGCAGGGTGTTTGAGCCGTAAGCTGCTAGGCTGTGCTTGTTACTAACAGTCCATAATGTGAGCAATTCTTAGTCTGAGCGATTTATGGTAGTCACCATGACGGCTACGCTAGAATCAGAGCCTTTTAGTCACCATAACTCTTTGTAAGTCCTCTGAGTTCTACCTGGTATGGCCTCCATTAATCGTTCTTCAACTACTTTCACAGATCGTCCTGACGGCCGCTCCAATGTTCACCGACGACTTCGGTGGCACGGAGGAAGTCAAGTCGATGATCAACCGTGACGAGGATAAAGAGCAGTTATCCAGTCAAACTGAGAAAGAGTTCAATGGTTCCATTTTCGCTAAGCTGGCCAACTCGGCCGTCCAGATCGCCAATCCGCTGCGTGAGATTTCTTTCACAGTCGACGCCTCACAATGCCGGCCCGAAGGCATCCATCCGGACGAGACGAACAACGCAAAACTGATCATCATGGGATTGGCAATATTTGGCTCCATCATATTTGAGGTGACCGCTACATTTTACTCGAATCTGTCGCCACTTATGTGGCTTGTATTTGGGCTGACTTAGGGCTGTTGAACTCACATCCATTCCAAGTAAAGGTAAGACGATTCCAGAGTAGATTACACTTTATACCTCGTAAAAAAGCATATTTATAGGATAGAGATGGAACATTTAAGGATAAGACGATGCGTTAGCCTGAATATGGCTATTAGAATGATGTTGTCTATCGTCTGACGGACGAAAGGTTAGCATATTCTCACCGAAATTGAAGCGATTGCCTCGGAGACAGCGCCAATAAGGGTGTATCGGTAGAGCCAATCGACAAATGGCCAGGAGGAATTCGCTCTCGTCTTCCGGTGGGATCGAGCTTCGAATCTCTTCAGTGCATAATTTTACTCGAAACATAAAATGACTCCTCGGAACCCATCCTGTATTCGCACATACTGACATAAGGGTGAAATCCGCTACCACTTATGTGCACACACAAAAATGGCACCAGACTTTTCTCCAACACTTCACAATTTGTCTGCACATGCACTACGGACGGCCATATTAGAGCGTGAATCACTTGGCCCTGCAGAGGTTTGTATTAATGCCTTCGGAAGTAGGATTGTAAAGCCCGACATGTGGACCAGAGGACGAGGGATTTTGCCCTCTTTAAACATGGAGGTTTAAGTGGAGAGCTCGCTTTTCAGTCAAAGTAACACAAACCATTTCATGAGATATATAAACTGTGTTTACACTATTTCGTTTAGGGTGATGAAGGACTGGTAAATGAATTTTCCCACAATAAAATGAGTAGAGCTGACGTTTCCATTGAATTTTACATAGCTTCGCTTTCCCAAAAGGTGTTCTCCTCCAGACAGAACTGAACTGCCGTTTCGATCTCGTCCAGGTCAAATGAACTCCTCCAGCGAGAGTTGAACCGCCACAGAGCAGCAGGCGATCTCAACACGTTAACCACTACACCACTTTGCCACAGGAAAGATGTGAATTTCGTGGAAGACCAGGAATTTTCCCATATCACCTTCTGTG